CCCCAAAACCCCAAAACCCCAAAACCCCAGAGCTTGAGTAATTATGAAATTTTGATACTTATACAGATAAAATAAAAATATATACCAAATTTAAATTCATATCTAGATTACTATTAAGAATATAATGTGAGGGGAAAAGGAGTACTCTAAGTTTCAATTTCTTAGTCTCTATCTTATTTATCTCAGGCTTAAAGTTTAATTGATTACTCTGTTGAGTCTTTATAATTGATCTTAATTTTACTTTTAACTAGGAGAAACTGACTTCTTTAATTTCAATTTGCTCTTGATTTATAGGGAATTATCTACCAAAGGATATTAAGTCAAATCTTTGAAGATATTTGGAGATGGGGATAGCTTGACATTTTAAATATCTTTAAGAGCAACTCTAGCAGTTAATGGCATTGGATGCGGTTTAGAAGTAATGGGCGTCAAATCAGCTTCAAGAGAGTCAGTAATTACAGTGAATGGTTAGATTTGATCGGTAAATCTTGATGTTTCAGACTACTAGATTTTAACTGGGTAATCTTGTTTCCTTATCCATAGTTGATTTCAACTCTACCTTTCATTTTTCTTAAGAAATCTCTTTGGAGAGGCATTATTAGACTAAGTGAAAGTAAAGTGAAATATTTCATTCTCATTGGGACTCTTTTTATCACTCAAATCTCTAAGACTAACTCTCTTAGACTCAGATCTTCCTGAGGCTGATCCAAACTTCTTGGAACTTCTGATAGGTTGTTGCTCCTGTTTGATATCTAATCGTAAATCCTAATTTTTGCTTATCTTAATTTCTTTAAGGACTTCTTCTTCTTTATCATTTTCAGTATTAACTTTCTTTTATAATCCTAAGTTGTCTAGAATGATGACATCGTTAAGGAACTCTTCATATATAATCCTCTGCATAAGTTTTTTGGGATTCTTGCTAAATATCTAGGGATTCCAAAGTTCTTTTCTTGTGCTTAAGATCTCATCCTATATCACTTTAGGATGATTTACTTTAGCCTTTAAATCTGCCTTAATCAAATCCTCTTAGATTAAGGTAAACTCAGATCTATCTTGTTGGCTAAAGTCTTAAGCTATTCTCCCTACAATCATACCTGCTAGGGATTCCTCAATATCTTCTTCTTGCATTGTAGGCTCAAACAAATTCCTAATATATTCAGTTTTCTCCAATTGATTAAGCATAAAATGATCTGGTAGAACAGCGTTAAGATTCTTAGCATTATCAGCAATTCTGATGAAATTTAGTTAATTTTCAGTGTTTGCCCTCTAAAGATACTTTTCTCTCTATAGTTAGTACTTCATGCCTAACCATTCATAGTCGCATTTGACTAGATTCTGAGCAATATTGCAATGACCTAAAAATTGACAGTTTAGAGTGAATATTTCATATATTAATGTGAAATCATACATAAAAGTGAATAGTCATCGATCTCAGAGCAAACCTCATCGTAGTTTTATTGAGTTTAGACAGAGTAAAAGATCTCCATGCCTGCTCTTAGTGATTCTGAAGTGATGACTTCATTTTCATCGAAAATGCTACTCTGTTTCCTAGTTGATAGGAGTCTTAATGCATCCTTCCTATTCAACTCTGGGTACTAAAACCTCTCTCTTGCTGAAAGATTGCTCTTTCCTCTTAAAACCTCTCTTAGCATTAAAAGTTTGATTTACTATTTTTAATTGCAAAATTACACAAACTTATTTTCTATCAACTCCTTATTAATATTAAATTCATAAATTTATTAAGATCTGCTATCTAGGGGTTTTGGGGTTTTGGGGTTTTGGGG